TATGGAGTGAGACTTGTGAAAAGTCGTTCCAGGAATTGAAAGTTAGATTGACCACCGCTCCGGTCTTGATTATTCCGGAGAGAAGTTTGGGTTATGCGGTTTATTGTGATGCCTCACGAGAAGGTTTGGGTTGTGTGTTGATACAAGAGGGGAAAGTGGTAGCCTATGGCTCATGGCAGTTGAAAATACATGAGAAGAATTACCCTACACATGACCTAGAGTTGGCGGTTGTGATTTTTGCCTTGAAGATTTGGAGGCACTACCTTTACGGTGAGAGATTCGAGGTGTTCTCAGATCATAAGAGTTTGAAGTATCTGTTTACACAGAAAGACTTGAACTTGAGGCAAAGGAGGTGGATGGAATTTATTGAGGATTACGACTTCGAGTTGCATTATCATCTGGGGAAGGCCAATGTTGTGGCCGATGCCCTTAGCAGGAAATCCATTAGTGATGTAGCTTGTATAGCCATCCGGGAATGGGAGTTGTTAGGTGCACTTGGCGAGTTTGATTTGCTTATGGGCAAATCCGTTGAGGCTGCGGCCTTGTTTTCTATTGTTGCGCAGCCTACACTTGTGACTCGAATGTTAAAAGCACAGAGAGGTGACTTTGAGGAAGAATCCCTCCGAGAGAAGATCTCCAGTGGGAAGGTTGAGAAGGGTTTGTCTGTGTATCCCGACCTGAGTGTGAGATACCGAGACCGATTATTTGTATCGGTGTCTTGTCGAGAGGAGGTACTCTGAGAGTTTCACCATTCACGCCTTACGGTGCATCCGGGAGGCACTAAGATGTATCGTGATTTGGGTCGCCAGTTTTGGTGGCGGGGTATGAAAAAGGATGTGGCAGTTTTTGTATCGAAGTGCCTTACTTGTCAGCAAGTGAAGGCCGAGCATCAGAGGCCAGCGGGTTTGTTACAACCCTTGCCTATTGCCGAGTGGAAGTGGGAGCATGTCACTATGGACTTCGTTGTAGGTCTTCCAAGGACTCAGCGGGGTAGTGATGCTGTTTGGGTGGTTGTAGACCGGTTGACTAAGTCGGCGCACTTCATCCCTAGGCGCGTGAGAGATTCGGTAGATCATCTTGCCGACTTGTATATTCAGGACATAGTGAGGTTGCACGGGGTCCCAGTGTCGATCACCTCAGATAGAGATCCACGTTTTACTGCGAGGTTGTGGTAGAGTTTGCAGAGTGCCTTGGCACTAGGTTGACCTTTAGCACGGCTTATCATCCTCAGACTGACGGGTAGTCTGAGCGTACTATTCAGATCCTTGAGGATATGCTTCGAGGTTGTGTCCTTGACTTTAGTGGGTCGTGGGAGAGGCATTTGTCCTTGGTAGAGTTTGCCTAAAACAACAGTTTTCAGTCGAGTATCGGTATGGCACCGTTTGAGGCCTTGTATGGCCGACCTTGTAAGTCTCCAATTTGTTGGGCCGAGGTGGGTGATGCACCTTTGTTGGGCCCGGAGTTGGTGAAGGAAACGACGGAGAAGGTTGAGCTTATCCGTAGGAGGCTTGTTACAGCCCAGAGTCGTCAGAAATATTATGCCGACCGTAGGAGAAGGCCTTTGGCATTTGATGTAGGTGATCACGTGTTTCTGAAGATATCACCTAAACGGGGTTTGATGAGGTTTGGTAAAAGAGGGAAGTTGTCCCCTCGATTTATTGGCCCTTTTGAGATCCTTGAGAGGATTGGCGAGGTTGCCTATCGTTTAGCTTTGCCGCCGCAGTTGTCTAGAGTTCATGACGTGTTTCGTGTTAGTATGCTTCAGAAATACGAGCCGGATCCGTCGCATGTATTTGATTGGACCGACTTAGAGGTAGATAAGGATGCCTCGTTGGAGGAGAGACCGGTTCGGGTCTTGGATAGGCGATATCAAGTTTTGCGAGGCAAGACTATTCCTTTGGTAAAAGTTTTGTGGAAACATCACGGGGTGGAGGAAGCCACTTGGGAACATGAGTTGGAGGTCCGAGAGAAATATCCGGATCTATTTGTGGATGTTTGAGTATTTGTTGTATATTTTATGGTATTGTTAAACTTTAAGAGCATTAAATGTGTCTTAAGTTGTTAAACATTGTATATGTTTCGGTTTATGGAAGTATTGTAGAACTTGCCTTGAAATGGAAGTTTATTATAACATTGTATATGTTGAATGAGTTGTAGAAATGGAAATATATCATGAACAGGGAATATGGTATGGAATTGTGAATCATGTATTTTGGAAATTGTTGGATTTGAAGGAAATGCATGTTGATAATGCATGTTGTAATATCTATTGTAATATACCTCCTGAATAGAGATGGAATGACCGATAATGGGTCAAGTTATGAAATTTTAAATTGCAGTGTTATTGAGAATTGAGAAAAACTTGTTTTTGAAAACTCGTACTTAATTTCGGGGGCGAAATTCTTTAAGGAGGGGAGGTTATAGCGATCCCGGTATTTCTCCATTTGGTTGTTGTATCCGGACTTAGGTTCCGTGGAGCTCGTTGTTGTTTATATATTGTTGTCATCCTTTAATTCCTTATTTTTGAGTTATAGGATATGTTGGGCAGGTTTGTTACAGGTTTGGTGTGCTTGGGAGCAAATGGTTGCTGCCCAGATTTTGGTGTCTTCGCTATAGCGAGAACTTTGTCGCTCAAGTGAGCTCTCTGTTTTAGATCCTTCGCTCGGGCTAGGATTTGTTTGCTCGAGCGAGAGTTGAGTTTTGTATCTGGTGGCTCGAGCGAGAAGTCCTTCGCTCGAGCTTGCGTCTGCGTCTACTTCTGGACCTGAGAGCTGCATTTCTTGGCTTGAGCGAGCTTTTCTTCGCTCGAGCGAGCGAGGTGTATGTTTTGAATTTCATCGCTCGAGCGAGCATTCTGTCGCTCGAGCATGCTTCTGGGTTGCAGACCTGAAGCTTCGCATTCTTGGCTCGAGCGAGGCTTTCTATGCTCGAGCGAGAGTTCTTTGTGTCTGGTCGCTCGAGCGACCAATCCTTCGCTCGAGCGAGCCTATGTTATATTAGTAGACAGCAGCGGGTAAACACTTCATTTTTTCATCTCTTTTGTTTTGCAAACCCTAGATCCGAGCTCTCTCTCTCTATACACCTTCTCTCTAGGGATTCATCTAGTTTTAGTGTGTTCTTACCCTAAGTCCTTGTAAGAAAGATAGAGGGTGGCTTGGGCTTCGTTTTAATCTGAAAAATCTCGAATTTGGAGCACTTTGGGTTTTGGTCATCTTCTCCATTTGAGCTCTTCATTTCAAGGTAGGGATACCCTACTCCATCCTATGAGTTTTGTCATAAATTTTGGGCACTTTGATATGTTGGGGTTGTTGGGTAATTTTTAGAAAAGTTAGGGTTTGATTTGTAATTTATAAAAAGCGATTTTCCATGTTTGAGCTATATTTGTGTCATAGACTTGAAATGGAGGTTGTTTATGGATTGTGGGTGAAAAATGAGCCTTAGCTATTATTGGAAAAGGGGAAAAAATGCCCTAATTGTAATAAATAATTAATTTGTATAATTAATTTGGGAAAACATGAAATTGAATTGAGAATAATGAAATTGGGAAATTATGGGATTAAATGGTGTAGTTGGATGAATTTATCACTCACCTATGAAAATGTTGATATCATATCTGTTGATACATTTATGTTCTGTTTAGAAATATCTGCTTTGGGCTATCGATGGAGGATAGTCTTGATTGTTGTGGACACTGCATGTTGATTAGGGAAAATCGAAACTAATCACATTGAATATGTCATCGAATATGACAGTTGGAATAATACATCAAATATGTGTATTGATTAACCCTTGTATATGATAATTGTTTATATACTTGGAATATGTGTATTGTGTGGGAGGAGATAGGGGATGTACTCTATGGTTTGAGGGAAGATAGGGGATGAACTCTGAAACCTGTTTGGGAGGAGATAGGGGATGAACTCCATTAATACAGCAAATATGTGTATTAAATTGAAGTATTGATACAGCAAATATGTGTATCTATTGTGAAATGTGGAAGTGTTAGTATATGACTTATAGTCTCATTGAATTGTTTGGCCAGGTTCTGAGCCATGTATATGAAATAATTTGGATAAGAAAAGGAAAATGGAGTGTAACATGGGCACAAGTGTCATGGAACTGTAGTGTGATATAATTGGTTTATAAGTGTTGACCATCTATCAAATGCTATTATTTTAGTCATTGCTTATATTTGGTTTAGTATATCTCTACTGGGCTGTGGCTCACCCTATATGGAACATCATTTTCAGGTCCAGGTGATATGCCACATCCAAGGACATAGCTTGGAAGGTTTTGGGAGTTGAAGACTCTTTTTGTTGTTTTGTTAGCTTTTGCTGTATTACATGTAAATTCAGGCCAAGGGCTTAATATGATATGAGTTAGTACTCTCTTTTGTGTAAACAAGTGTTGGCTTGGAAAGTTGTAAGCCGTTGGGCATTTACTTTTGTTGTCAACATGTGTTACATTTGTAAGGACTACTCTGATGAATGAAAAAGTGTTAATTTCTCTTATATCAATGCATGCCAAGAATATGGGGTTTTATGTATTATTTTGAAGGCGTTACACTTGTCATGGTCCATATGTTGTGTAGTATATCTCTACTGGGCTATGGTTCACCCAATAAGGGAAACCATTTCAGGTACCGATGATATGCCTCCGCCAAGGCACTGATTTGGGAGGACTCGGAGCTGAGGCTCTATTTTTGTTTTATGGCTATTTATTAAATCCAGGGTTGTTTTTGTGTTGAGTTGAAACTCCATTTTGTGTAACCCAGAATGTTCTTGGATAAATTTGTAAGCTTGTAGGGCACTTATTACCTGTTTGGCTTCCATTTCATATTTGTTGTAAAATGCATGCTTGGGATTGGAATTGGGGCATTGAGATGTGAACAACATGTATTTGGTATTTGGGATTAAATGGAAAAGGATGCATGGAATAGTTAGCTATATATATGTGTTTGTCTATCAGGTGGGTTTGTTGTATAAATATATATACCCTGCCTAATTTTCGGGACGATAGATCTTCGAGTTCCTTCCAGACGGTGAAGAGCTTGAAGACAAAGCAGAGCCTGACGGTGTTGTCTCGATTGACGGAGTTTCAGCTTCTTTGTTCTCAGAATCCTCCAACTCCAGAATGCGATGATGATAATGATGATGAGAGGCCTCATTTTCTTCATGTTCTTGCCATTGGAACTGTGCTGCTCGTAGTGGTGACATCAACCAGATCTGACCGTTCAAGAATAACTTGTCGGCCGAACTCATACCACTCGATGAGAACTCAAAAGAAAATTTGAACTCGAACGAGCCAGACTCAGTTGACAAGAAAGAATCAGACCTAGGAGCGGTGGATAACACATAGTGCATAGGACTTGCAAGAGCATTGGAGAAGTAGCCGACGATGGGCCAGCCACGATCGGGGCTTGAAGGTGCGGAGACATAGGGAGTGGAACATGTGTTGTTGATTTCTTCGTTGAGAAGGTGGTTTTTGTGAGCATTGTTGGTGTCGCCATTGTTGGATGAGTGAAAGTCGACATTTGGTTCGCCATTGTTACGGTTTAAAAAGAGCATTATTGGTGTGAGTTCGAGAGCATAAATCATAAAGGACCCCCACAACAACAATCCCCACAGACACATGTCTGTGAGTGATAGAAGGAAAAAATAAAAATAAAAAGTTGAATACATTGGAGGTGGTGGGATTTTTCCGTTTGACAGAGAGAGAGAGAGAGATAGAGAGAGAGAGAGAGAGAGTTGGGGTGGGCTTTGGGACTGAAAATAGTCTGACTGGCTTGTTGGACACACAATAATTAGACAGAGAGCTTTGTGAATGAAAAGAGAATGCATACATGGTTGTGCACTGTGCTTCCAATAAAGATTGGAATTCAATTTTTTAAAAATTAATTTTTTATTTTTTATATATTTTTATTTGGAATTTTTTTTAAAATAATTCCATTTCAGAAAATGTTGCTTCATTTAGTTTTGGATGTTTTCTTCTTCTTTGGAAATGTTGCTTCATTTCTGAAAATGTTGCTTCATTTATGGTATGTTATTTTGGTTTAATTTAGAAATTTTGAAGTTTACTTATTTACCATTAACTTGTTGGACACACCAATAAGGGATGAGGTGTCATTTTGTGCCAACAAAGCTTCGATTTACTTCTTGCTGCATTATTAAAAATAAAATAAAAGAATTTGTCCCTTTGTTTTTTTTTTTTAAATAGTATTTCTAAGAAATTCCTTTACATTTTCACTTTAACACATTTTTTATACAAATTTTCAATACTAACAAAAGTCTTTAGGATTGCTTTCATTTTTTTAATAAACGATAAATAGATTTTGATTTTTGAAACAATACTACAAACTCACCTTTCTCAATCTAGAATTTACTCAGAAAAATGAATTATTGGTTCAAATTCATTTTACTTATGAACCCCACACTTCATCAATTTAATCTCCACCATACAAACACATTTAGGGTAAATTATGGGTTGATAAGGGTAGGTTCATAGCATTTTTTGTTTTTGAAATTTTGAAATGGAATTGACTTAGTAAGTGACTATTTTATTTCAAAAGTCAAAAAAATTACAAATATTTTAAAAAGTCATAGATTCATATTTTAGTAAAAAAAAAAATCACTTCCCAAACAAGGGCTAAATTTTATGAGTAATTTCATCCATATTTACCATGGGCCATTGGGCAGTGGTTAATATTGGTATGTGTATAAAACTTATATTAAAATATGTAAAAAGTGTACAGAATATGTGAAATATGAATTTTTAATAAATTAGATACTATATTTATTTTTTTTATTAAATGACTCATTCAAATAGAAAGCAAAAGAATTATATTGAGCTTAAAATTCTATTTTACATCTTTCTTATTCAACTAAATAAAATTATATAAGAAATTGAAATTTTATAAAAAGGGAATCCCACACTCTTCAAATGGTGTATAAGCATTGTAATTCCCTCAAAATAAGACATATGGCAATCATACATAAAATCCATAATCATAAAAGAAATATTATATTTTCATTCATTAGAGTATTCTTACAAATGATAGTACATGTTATCAACAAAATGAATGCCCTACGAGCTTACATCTTTCCAAGTATTAACTTGGTTACAACAAAAGAAGAGTTCTAACTCTTTTACATAATAAGCCCTCGTCCTGAATTTACATGTAACATCAAAAACAAATAGACAAAATGGAGTCTTCAGCTCCTAAACCTCCCAAGCTAAGACCTTGGAGGTGACCTGTCACCTGTACCTGAAAATGGTGTCCCAAGTAAGGTGAGCCAAAGCCCAGTAGAGATATGCTAAACCAAATATGAGAAATAACTAAAACATTGGCATTCGATAAATGGTTAATACTTGTAAACCAAATTACACCCTTTCCATAACGCATTAACGTTCACATCTATAATTCCAATCCACTTCCATTTATTTATCTAACTCAATTCATAGACATGTTTCATCATTCATCCAAACAAAATCGAATGAGACTACAACTCATATAATCAACACTTCAATCAACAACATCATTCAGACGTATATAAGGTTTCGGGACTTTCACCTAGGACACTCTGGCCAACTTAGTTATCAATGGAGTCCATCCCCTATCTCCTCCCAAACAATAGAGTACATCCCTTATCTCCTCCCAAACAATGGAGTACATCCTATATCTCCTCCCAAACAATATACATATACAATGCATTTAGACAAGTTGTCATATACAATGACCAATTCAATCACATGTTCAATGTTATTATCCAACCGTTATATTCAATGACATATTCAAATTGATTAGTTTCAATTTACCTAATCATCATGCATTTTCTATAACAATCATGGCTATCATCCACCGATAACCCAAAGTAGTTATATCTAAACAGATAAATTACCACATTTTCCATAGGTGAGTGATTTACCAATCCAACTACACCATATAATCATAATTTCCTTCAATTTCACAATTTCCAAACCAGTTTCATGCTTCCACAATTTTCTTCTTTTACCAACAATGTATATAATTCAAAATTAGGGCATTCTTCCATTTTCCCATAAATGGTACCCAAGGCCAAAATTTCGTCAATTTTATACAAACAACACATTCTTGAGACTCCACAAACATATGGAACCCAACATTTGAAAACCCCTCTTTTATAAATTCAAAATCAAACCCTAACTTCATCCAAATTTCCCAAATACCTCCATCTATACAAAATGACCAAAATTTATGTTAAAACTCATAATAAGGAGTAGATTATCCCTACCTCAAATGAAGAAGCTCAAAGGAGAAGGAGGAGAAACTTGAAGATGCTCCAAAACCAAACTTTTTTAGTCAATAGATAGCCTAAGCCAAGCTCTAGCTTTTATAAAAAGGGATTAGGGTAGAGAACCTCTAAAACAAGGTGTATTTGTAGAGGGAGAGAGTGTGTTTAGAGAGAGAGACAGCTAGATTTAGGGTTTGGAATGAAAAGTGGATGAAAAAGTGATGTGGAAACCTGCTGCTGCGAACTACTATATACGAGGCTCGCTCGAGCGACCAGACACAAAAGAACCTCGCTCGAGCGCATGAAGCGTCGCTCGAGCGAACAATGCAAAGCTTCAGGTCTGCCACCACTCAAACACATGCTCGAGCGCAAAAGTTCTTGCTCGAGCGAAGAAACACAAAACATAGAACTCGTTCGCTCGAGCACAAGAAAGCTCGCTCGACCAAAGAATACCAACCTTCAGGTCTTTCAGAGACGCAGACGCATGCTCGAGCGCAAGAATGCTTGCTCAAGCGAAGACACACACCACAAAAAGCTCGCTCGAGCGCAGAAACCCTAGCTCGAGCGAAGAAGGAAACACCCAAGGCTCGCTCAAGCGAAGAAGGAAAAACTTGGGCAGCAACCATTTGTTTCAACTCACAACCAACTTGTTCCAAACTTACCCAACACATCCCACAACTCAAATACAAGGAATTGAAAGATGGAAACAAGATATAGACAACAACAACCAGTCACGGAACTCGAGTTTGGAATACAATAAATGAAGGGGAAAAACCGGGATCGCTATAAGCATCTTACGTATTTTTGTAGTAATTATACATATTTTATTGTTAAAAAATATTATAAAAATATATATAACATTATTACAAAATACTAATTTTATTTGTGTTTTGTGCTTCCAATAAATATTGGAATTCAATTTTTTAAAAATTAATTTTTTATTTTTTATATATTTTTATATGCAAAAATTATTCAAAAATTCTATTTCAGAAAATGTTGCTTCATTTAGGTTTGGATATTTTCTTCTAAACTAATTAATCCTTTTATTTATGGTATGTTGTTCTGGTTTAATTTGGGAGTTTTGGAGTTTACTTATTTACCATTGGCTTGTTGGACACACAATAATTAGACGGAGAGCTCTGCGAACGAGGAGAGAATGCATATAGCTCTCTGATGGTTATGCGCTATGCTTCCAATAAATATTGGAATTCAATTTTTTAAAAATTAATTTTTAATTTTTATATATTTTTATTTGGAAAAATTATTCAAAAATTCCATTTTAGAAAATGTTGCTTCATTTAGTTTTGGATGTTTTCCTTCTAAACCAATTAGTCCTTTTATTTATGGTATGTTATTTTGGTTTAATTTGGGAGTTTTGAAGTTTACTTATTTATCATTGGCTTGTTGGACACGCAACAATTAGACAGAGAGCTCTATGAATGAGGAGATAATGCATACATGGTTATGCGTTGTGCTTCCAATAAATATTGGACTTCAATTTCTTAAAAATTAATTTTTTTATTTTTTATATATTCTTATTTGGAAAAATTATTCAAAAATTCCATTTCAAAAAATGTTGCTTTATTTAGTTTTGTATTTTTTTTCTAAACTAATTAGTCCTTTTATTTATGGCATATTGTTTTGGTGGTTTAATTTGAGAATTTTGGAGTTTCTTTATTTATCATTGGCTTGTTGGACACACAATAATTAGACAGAGCGCTCTGTGAACGAGGAGAGAATGCATACATGGTTATGCACTGTACTTCCAATAAATATTGGAATTCAATTTTTTTTAAATTAATTTTTTATTTTTTTATATATTCTTATTTGGAAAAATTATTCAAAAATTCCATTTTAGAAAATGTTGCTTCATTTAGTTTTGGATGTTTTTTTTCTAAACAAATTAGTCTTTTTATTTATAGTATGTTGTTTTGGTTTAATTTGAGAGTTTTGGAGTTTACTTATTTACCTTTGGGTGTGATTTTGGTTTTGATTTTTTTCTTGATGTTGTGGTGAGTTGGTTATGGTATGGTGTTATTTTCACTTTTTTTGTGGGGGATTGTGTCGACTGATTTAGGAGATTAGTGATGTTACCCATTTGGTGTGGGTTTCTAATGTGGAATGTTTCAATCGTTGTTTATTTGAACGAGGAGAGAATGCATACAACTCTCTGATGGCTATGCACTGTGCTTCTAATAAAAATTGAAATTCAATTTTTTTTAAATTAATTTTTTATTTTTTATATATTTTTATTTGGAAAAATTATTCAAAAATTTCATTTCAGAAAATGTTGCTTCATTTAGTTTTGGATGTTTTCTTCTAAACCAATTAGTCCTTTTATTTATGGTATGTTGTTTTGGTTT